AACATATGGTAACCCTAAATTAAAGTTAATGGAGTCAGGGCCGGCTCTAGGTTTTTTGCCGCCCCTGAAATTGTGCTGCCCCAAGCATGTGCTTGGTTTTCTGGTGCCTAGAGCTGGCCCTGAATGGAGTAAAGGAATCTCAGCTCCAAACATTTAGATCTGCAATACTGAGTTCATATGATAGCATTGCCTTCTCAAAGATTCCTGAAGTTCAGTGGGCACTGGGCCTCAGATCCCATAAATGTGAATGTACAGGGACATTTCCTTCACAGAAGCCAGAACTAGTTATTTATGTCTATTGCAACTGGCCCCAGTCCCCCTTTGGCCATTCACTAGTATGTAATAAGTGAACACAAATATGCTTGTGCTTCTAAGCTAGCTGGATCTGGGTAGAGTCTAATCACTGGTTTGTAGCTCTTGTCTCTCTAGGCCACACTCCCAGGCACAGGTTTCTTGTGTGAGCCCTTTGAAATGTGGGATGCCACAGTCCAGCTGCTCTAGTCCCTAAATGCAGTTCCTCAGACCTCACAATACCCCTAGTTGCTTACACACACTCCCTTGAAGTTCTACCTAGCTGGCTCCTAATTTAACCTCTTTGGGAACAATGTGACATGAGTGCAAGGAACACAGGCCTAGCAAAGGAATTTCTTAACTACAGTCACTTTACTCTTAAGCACTAGAGAGTTACAGATCTTTGCAAAATAATAAAAGTCCTGAGCTCCAACCACTGCCTGACCCGGGCTCCTAAGACTGATCTCCCCCTTCTTTGAATCTGCATTCTTGTTAGCATTACTGGCTAGGCATAATTCCTCCTGCCTGCCTTCTGTCTCTCCAGCCCAGTCATCTTGCATGTGGCAATGGATTTGTCTTCCATCCTTCTGCCCCGAGAAGCACTTTTTCCTTAAATATAGTCTCCAGGTCGAGGAAACTCCAGCCCCTTCTCCCAGTCAGGCTTGTGTGTAGGGAGTAGATTGTTTCATGGTTATGGGCTGGTAATTGAAGGACAATCAGAGTCAATGCCCTCAATTATTGTCTTGATGATGACTTCTGAGATCATCCTTCAAGGAGATGTCAAGCATCTTTCTTGGGCATGGTGGCTTTCTGGAATACATCATAGTAACCTTGCCTTGTGCAAGGTTTAACATGCGTTTAGTACTACAACATGGAGATCACAGTGGTTTGACCTAGACATATCCCACTCTGTCACAGAAGATGTCTGCATCTTAGTTGCCAGCCTCATGAATGTCTGGATGCCCAACATTTCAGAAACCATATTCATAGGTTAAAATGTCCCTCTTATTTGACACCCCATTATACATTTAAACTTCATCTACATTTGTCTTACGTCTTGAAAAACTTTTAGATAATGAAAGCAAAGCACCCAATATTTTGGGAGAAATCATGTTTATTGAATGTAAAATACTCATTGACATCTTGAAGCCATTCAGCAACCATCTTAAATGAAATTTATCTAACGGGGTTGTTGGCATCTTGTAAAATCCATTTATTGGTAGCAAAATCACTTCTGAAGGAATGAAAACATACTACTTGAAACTTGTTATTGAAATATATCTGCAGAGATTATTTTCTCTTGAAAATACAAAACAGTAAAACTGATCCCAGAAGAGGAACTAGTGATTGTCTCAGCATCTAATATCTGCACTACAAAACAGAATAAATTTGGGTTTAGGTGTAACTATAGATGTTTATTTATGTCGGAATGGATACCCCCTTGTAGATGTGAGCACCCTCTCCACTTTGCCTGTCATTTAATGGAGCCATGTACTTTTTTGGCAGGAGAGAATATTGTTATAATGATAACTGATCACATGAGTGAAAAATAGGGGCAAAAATGATAGATCTACAGAACAAAAGGTCTTATGCTGCTCAAAACTGGAAGTATAAGCTTGTCATGCAAATAGAATTTAAAAAAAACAAATTGATGTAATGAAGGAATTATTTGAAGGAATAGTGTAAGGCTGAAATTACACACACCTTTTCTTTATGTATTAAAGTCAATGTAATTCTTACATAAGAGAGATTTCCCAAACTAAAAGTTTTAATGCTCTATTTTCTTGTTAAAATACTATAATCAACACTAGTCACACATCTTTTGTAAAGCACCATTCAATGACAAAACCGCTTGTGTGCTCAGAAGAAAACAGACATAATAAGGAAAGTTGTTCAAGGATTGTTTCAGATTTTTCACTGATTTATGGTAGACAGTATGGTTCTGATCTGAAATGTAATTAAAAGATAGTCATAGGTTGTCGTGTTTGCTGTGTCTCAGTGATTCTTATCAAATGTGAAAGTTTACATGTAAACATAATTTTTTGAACTCTGTTTTGCAATCTCAAATTGGGATCTGAAAGTAAAGCTGGATTCTTTCCTTTAGACATTATCATTCATAATAATAAAGGTTATTCAAGCCAAATTAGGTTCTTAGAGGCACTTGTGTGTAGACTCATTTTACTCAACTGATATGTGCATAAATGACTTTGTAAACATTTATGTTGGTGATGCAAAAGTAGGAATATAATTCAGACAGCCTTTTAATTATGTTGGTCCTGTAGTGATAAAGGAGTTAACAAATAAAAACTTAATGGCACTACAATCTGCAGATTGACACACATAGAGAATAAGGCTATGTCTACACCAGAGACCTTACAGCCGTACCACTGCAGCTGCTCTGCTGTAAGGTGTCCCATGTAGCTGCTCTTTGCCAACAGGAGAGAGCTCTCCTGTCAACATGATTAAATCACCCTCAACGTACAGCAGTAGCTATGTCACCAGTAGAACATCTCCCAGCAACGTAGCGCTGTCCACGCCAGAGCTTCTGTCGATGAAACTTATGCTGGTAGGGGGGAGAGGGTATTTTTTTCACACCCCGATGTAACAAAAGTTTTACCAACAAAAGTGCTAGTGTAGATATCCATTCAGTTAGAAGGTGCCATTTTTGCAGTCACTTCATAGTAGAATCACATCTTAAATAATACGCTGCATAGTTGTGAGATATGAATCTGCATTTTGCATCAAAATAGGCAGGAGAAGTATAACAAAACTCAAAATTTTATACCACCTTCAGAAATGTAAGAAACTAGCTTGAAGAGCTTCTCATGTGTAAGGTTCAGATAAATTGCATATGATTAGTTGGTACTGACATACCAATGGAACTGTGCCTCTCCTGTTATATAGCATCTAAGTTCTTTGTAACTGGTGGTGTATAAGACAATAACAAAGTACTAGAAAAGTACTGTCAGTTATATAAGCAACATTAGCTTTAACTAATTGAACTCTGCTTTCAGATGTGCCAACTACAGATGTAAGCAAACCCAGAGTGTCTGACAGTGTCCATATCAATACTTATCAGGTTAGAACAGAGCCAGAACAAGGGAACCTCTGCTCACCAGAACAGACATCTCTCCATGAAAGTGAGGGTCTGTTGTACTCATTTTAAATACTGAAAGTTTATTTCTTTATTGATTGTGTCAGAATTGTGTAATAGCTTTTTTCTCATACTGGTTTTATATCTGCAGGGTCAGTAGGTAACTCAAGAAGTTCAACACAAATGAATTCTTATTCTGACAGTGGTTATCAGGAAGTAAGCAGTTTCCATAACAGCCAGAACTTGGGCAAGTCAGAAAATAGACAGCAGCATTCACTTACTGGAACCACTAGTAATCATTTGGTGAGAAACTCACGGGCTGAAGGACAAACTTTAGTTCAGGTACGCAACATAGCAAATGCTTTTTTCAGCTTAGTTGTTGCTCTGAAATACATTTTGAACACAAATATATGGCTAGTTCTAGATTTTTTATTATAGGCAAGAATTAATAAAGTTCCTTTGAAACATTTCAAATTAATTAAATAGTAACATTTTTCTGGGTAAATAGTAATCTAAGTGGTAGACAGCCAGAAGAGTATTTATTTACTAAAATTATTATGCATCCAGTGTTGGTATTGTAACTGAAACCCAATAAACTCTTCTAAGTACAGCAGGCAAAAGAGTACATTATTTGTATCCTAATTCGATAAAACCGCAATTGAAGCAATTTAACTTTAGGGAAGACAAAAATCTTAATCATAGATTTATGCCTCTGTTTAAGTCTTATGTTAAAGACAGGCAATGTTTGTTTTATGTCCTTCTGCTACCCTTTGTTTTTTCAGCTCTTCCTTGAATCACAGACTGGTACCAGTCCTACTTTCTTTCAGTTTTATCTCTTTTATAATAGAACTATATATATAACTACAGATAGGATTCAACACTAATTAGTTATTAGAACTGGGGGTGAAAAAATGTTAGTATGTTAACAAAAAAAGAAGCAGAGACGCACTCAGAAGTACAGAATGGAGGGATATCAGTCTTCATATTTTGATTTGATATTATGGAACATTCTAGATGGAGAAGAGGTGGAGAATAAGTGAAGAATTCAACTAATGTGTTTTCCCAGGGAAAAAGACATAATATAAAGGAAATGTAAGAAGTAGAGAGACTGTAAATTTAATCCTTACTTGTGTGGTCAGTTTTATACTGTATTGAATGATATGCTTTTTCTGATGGCTTTTCTGTTTCAATAAAAAATGAAAATAATCACAGAGCCAAAATATTTGAAATTAATAAAACTCATTTTGTTTTTCTTCTTAAATAGCCCTCCGTAAATATTGCTGCCAACCGAGCGATGAGACGTGTTAGTTCTGTTCCATCCAGAACACAGTCTCCTTCTTATGTTATCAGCACAGGTGTTTCTCCTTCAAGGGGGTCACTGAGAACTTCTGTAGGAAGTGGTTATGGTTCTCCATCAGTTACTGAATCACGACCCCTTACTTCTAGTGCATATTCATCCACTACATTACCTGTACAGCGAGCAACATCTCCCTATACAACACAGAGACCTGCTTCACCAGCAGCTGTACGGCGGATCGGTTCAGTCACATCTAGGCAGGCAGCTAACCCCAGTGGAGGAACTTCTCAATACCAAACATCTGTCAGAGTGGGCTCACCTCTTGCCCTAACTGATGCACAGACAAGAGTAGCTTCTCCATCTCAAGCCCAGATGGGATCTTCTTCCCCAAAACGTGCTGGCATGACTGCAGTTCCACAGCATTTGGGAACAACATTACAAAGAACAATTCATGACATTGACCAGTATGGACAGCAATATGATATCTATGAGAGAATGGTACCACCACGTCCAGATAGCCTTACAGGTTAGTAAAAAGGTAAAGACGCTGCTTAAAACTTCGTGCACACTTTCATGTGTAGAAAATCAGTAATGCAGTTATAAATATACAAAGTAAACACTGTGGTGTAAAAAAAACCCAATTATTCTAGGTTCTTCAGACAAGTTATAATTGCTGATGTATCAAATGGTGTATTGCATTCATATTTGTGACCGTGGAAGTTTGTAGCAAATGCCATATTTTCTCTCAATTCAACAAATTATGATAGTGATGTAAAACATAGCATGTTTTCTGAACTTTTATTTTATTATGAAGTTGCAAGATTGTTCCAAAAAATATGGACTGTATTAGAAGTCAAGTTGTATCTAAATACATATAGAGCTTATAAACAAAGTTACAAGTGGTGCAGGTAATCGTACATTAAACCTAACTTTGTTTTAAAGTCATTTAAATTGGCTCATGAATCTCAAAGCACTTCACAACAAATTAAGTATTAGCATTACGGTGATGGTCTAGGCAAATGGAGCAGCTATTATATGTGTAGACATAGTTCATATACAGCCTTGAAAAGTAGAACCTGTTTATTTGAGAAGGTTATTCCTGAGAGGATTCTGCACCAAAAAATTAAAAATTCTGTGCCAAAAAATTAAATTCTGCACACAATATTTTAAAATTTATGCAAAATTCTGCAAGTTTTATTTGTCAATAAATAAATGCAGAGGCTCCAGCATGGCAATGGGGAACACAGGCCACTGGCTGTACGAAGACGAGAGTTCACCCTCCAGCCTCCCCACCCCAAGACATGGACTCAGTAGTGAGGCTGCAACCAACCCTGACACAGCACAAGGTCTGGGCCTGCCCCAGAAACACCCTGGGGTCCTGCCCCAGATGTGGGGCAGGCAGGCTCAGCCGGGCAGGATCCAAGTGTGGAGGGACTCTGTGTGTGGGGGATCCAGGTGTGAGTTGAGAGGATTCTGTGTGGGACAGTCCTGATGCAGGTAGTTCAGTGTGGAGTCTAGGTGTGGGAGGACCTGGATGCACAGAGGCTCATAGGAGGGGTTCCATGTGCAGGGGAAATGGGACTCTGCAGGGACTTCCAAGTGAAAGTGGTTGGGGCTCAGTGGAGGAGTCTGGGTGTGGGGGACTCAGCAGGGGGGCTGGGAGCTGGGGGAGTGGGGCTTGGTGGGGTGGGGGTCTGATGCAGCTAGTTGGGGGTCTGGATATGGGGGCTCAGGCTTGTCAGGGTGGGGGTTTGAGTGCAGGGAGTTCAATGGGGGGTGGTCTGGATGCAGGGGTGGGGGTCCAGAGGCAGGGATCTGGGTGCAGGGAGACTGGAGATGCAGGGGTTGAGGTTCAATGGGATGGGGTTGGGGCATGGCGGACTAGGGGGGTTCTGGGTGAGGGTCAGGCTTGGTAGGGGGTCTGGGTATGAGAGATCCAGATGCATGGAGGTTGGGCAGATGGGGGAGCAGCTCCCCGTTCAGTGACCTCTCCCTTGCAGCTGAGGAGCGATGCGGGCAGGAAGCAGGGGAGGATGCTGAACTTCCTGCAGCTGGGGGAGATTTCTGGGGGTGGGTCTGACATGGCCCCAGCCACTCCTTGCAGGGGAAGAGGAAGTCTCGTCCTCTCCTGCCTCCAGCCCAGCTGGGACTAGCAGCTGATCCCATCTCAAGGTAGAAGCCGCTGGTTGGGGTGTCCTCAGTCCTGGGGTGATTTAGCTCTCTGCTGGCTGCTCCAGGTGCCTGAAATGATGTACCTGCGCAGCAAGGGAGTGGTGTGTGACTGTTCTTGCAGCTTCCCTTTTCTTCCCTGTCAGAAAGTCATTTTTCTTCAGGGAAGCAAAGAAATCTTCAGGGGACATGAATTCTGGGCTTGCACAATGGTGCAGAATTCCCGCTTGTTAGGTTAGTTACTTTAGACCTTGAAGTTGTACTTGTGTATTACCCTTTCTGGTCTCTTAATTTTCATCTAAAAGAGCCACATGTGTGATCATGCAGTGAAAATCATGTTATTTCACTGTGAATGCACATTAAAGTGCTTGTTTAATTTTTCTTTATCACTAATAGTCCAGGCACTCCCCAATCTGTTCCCCCTGCCACTGCAGGAATTGGCTACCTGCTTCCCCTTTCTATTCCCTTCCTTTTCATAGGATTAATAACCTGCCAACTGATAAGGCAAAAATCAGTATTTAGCATGTTGACCTGGAAAATTTTGCAGTCAAAATTAATACAGTTTAGTGGATTTGGATAACCTATAGTGTGATAGTAATCCTTTATAGTAATAATGCTTAGCATTTATCTTGTACTTTACATTTTTCAAAGTACTGTACAAATATTAATGTTTTAGTTTTGTACTGTGAGCAGTTTTACCACCTTAAACACATTGATCCATGGCCATGCACAGCCCTTAGGAAAAAGGACTCATTTGAGTAATTGACAAATCAAAACATTAGAAACAGATTTGTTAAAGTTTTAATTTTTTTTTTTCGTTTGAGAGCAGCAAGTAGCAACAGCTATAGTCTAGGATGCAGAACAGTTTCTCTTATAACCTCCACTAAAAGCTTTCCAAAGCATTTGTATTTGAAACTGAAATATTCTATGCTTTGTCTCTGTCCAAAGTTAAATTATTTTTAAAAGTTTGAATAAACTCCCTTCAGCAGTAATGAAAAGATGAGGAAATATACTTTTCCCAATATAAATTAGTTCTCGTGTTTTTTCAGGGGGAATAAACAAAAACGCCTGAAACCTTAGACTCAAATTTATATGTGATCAGTTTTCTGACCACTGACACTATATCCACCTACTGGACCCACTCTAGGGGAGGAAATTTGGACAGGGGAGAAAAAGGTTAGTACTGCAGCAGCCTCTAGCACAATTCCAAAAAATGCACACTGCTGTAAAAGCTGAGAGAGGACATAGTAGAATGGTTGATCAGCTCCTCTCTTCCCTCTGGGTTTGTGGTCTCAGAAAAAGGTCAGTGTGTCCTGAGGAAACTGTTGCAGAGATTAAATGACTTGCCTGGGAGGTGACATAGTGATCTAGTGGACCTAACTGTAGGTTTAGAAGTTGGGAGACCTGAATTTTAATCCTAGTTCTGAGACTAGCTTCCTGATTTACTTTGGATGAGTCACTTAAGCTTTCTGTCCCCACCATCTAGATAATTTTTTCTGCCCAAGTTTTAATGTCCCTAGAAGCCCTGATGCCAACCAGAGAGTTTCCTCTCAGACATCATAGTAGGGCAGGTTTGAGATTTTTTTGAAAAAGGTATTAAAATACAAGTTAAGGTATAATATCACTTCTTTCTCCAAGAATCATAATTTGGAGTTGTGTAATAATGTCCCTCATATTATCTACTCATCTGAGTCCAAATATTAACTTTTTGTGTAACTATAATTAATAGTTATTAAAACACAGTGCCTGGAATTATGACCTATGTACAGGAGGCATGATTGCAATTCCATCTGAATTTTATAAAATGGATTGGAAAAAAGCTGTTTGAAGTGTGAATAAAACACTACTTTCTCTGGACTATGAAATTTCTGTGGACTGGCACCTTTCACTGTTTCTCCTGAACCCCACCTGATTTTGTCAACAAAGCTGATCATATTTCTGTATGACTAGTTGCAGTACCTATATTTTCACTTTCTTATTTACTAACTATTATTGTATGACTGATTAATTCTGTAGTTTGTGTTTGTGTAATTATTTGTATTTAGGGAGGGATTTTGGATCAATTGTGTTTATAATCCTGTGGGAGTGAAATCTAGCATTAGTGCAACTCTGAGGTTGGGGGGGGGAAGAATCAAAATTAACAAATCAGGGAAAGAAGAGTTAAGGGTGCAAAGTTAGTCTGAGAAACTGATGCATGTTGAACCACAGGAGATAGGTATTCAAAGGAAAAAGTATATTTGAGGGTAATCCTCTTAAAGAATATAGTTAAGTCCATGGAACTAATGAAGTCACCCAAAGACTAGGGATGAAAAGAGAAGAGGAGAGAGCCAAGAATGGAAGGAAACTTGAGAGAGCTCAAACAGAGAGAGAGAGAGAGAGAATGGAAACAAGATAATGTCATTGAAAGATGCTGAAAGAGTGGCCAGAATGAGAGGAAGAGAACCAAGGGAGGGAGGACATGTCACAGAAGCTAACGGAGGAGTGTGTGTCTGGTATCAATGGCAGCAGAAAGTTTGAGCATGGAATATAAGCCTAAAAAATTAGCCATAAAGAGGTCATTTCAAATTTTGAGAGCGCTTTCAAGAGATTGGAATGGGCTGAAGCCAAATTGGAATGGGTAAAATACAGAGTCTGAGGTGAGAGAGGTAATACATTTCTTGTAAACACAGTCTACTCAATGAGTTTGAAGCTAAAGGAGAATAAGTGAAGACAGGATAGTTGTTGGAAGAACAGGCAGAGTCAAGGTTAGGATTTTTATATTTAAAAGATGGAGATACCAGGGTATATTTGAATACACTTTTATCAGAGGGAAAGGAAGGAAGGTTAGCAGTCCAGAAAGAAAATAGGGCCTAAGAGACAGAGGGCTGGTCTACACTGGGGGGGGGGGGGGCTGACTTCAGCGGCAGCAGGAGGTGAAATGAATAGTTCATTTGTGAGTAGTTTTTGCAGAATCTTGTAATCAGCTTGGCAGCACAGTATAGATTGAGGGGATATCTTGGAATGGAACTGCTACATTTGTCATCAAAGAGAGAGAAACGTTAGATAATGGCGTTTAACAGTCTGTTGCTTTCTGCTGAGCAATCATCAAATCCAGAAATAATGATCTTGAACTGTTTTGAAGTTTTTGATACAAAACATTTAAGAACCTTAGAATATTACAACTAAACCATTTGTTTAGCAACAAGTGAAAATCAAATAGGAATATGAAACAAATTTCTATTCTTTCTTGTTTTGAAATGTTTCCATGATCTGAATAGGCAAAGTTACAAATAACATTTGAAACTTTCAGAATAAATGTTAAAGTTTCAGGAACAATTTGAATTATCTGCTTGTCTAAATTACATAAAAACCCATGTTAAAAAATGTTAAAAATAGAAGTCACGGTAAAATGTCGTCATCATCATCATCTTCCTGAAAAGTACATGCAAAATCTGAGCACTTCATATTTCCTTAGTTACTTTTTAAAAAAATCTCACAATAGTTTCACAAAACTTAAAAGCAAGCAATACTTTTTACTGTGGAGCACATATAATCACTTTGGCTAATTAAAAGACTAACAGTAAAATTGCTAAGGGACCATCACAATTCACTTGCTTAATGGGGGTGATTTTCTGATGAAGGTGGAGCAGAAATATGACCATTATGTTTGGAGATACCCAGACTGCTGCTTATTAAAAGTAGTCCATACTGATTTCACTGCAGTGCTTTACTTCTAACAACTCTACAAAGTTTAGGCAGAACTCCTACAAAGCCTCTGAATTCCAGCTGACTTAAATTGCCACTAATTGCATACCATACATATTTACCTTTTTCTTGCTTCTAGGCTTGAGGAGTTCGTATGCTAGTCAGAACAGTCAGCTTGGGCAAGAATTACGTTCTGCTGTATCTCCTGACCTACACATCACCCCCATATATGAAGGGAGAACCTATTACAGTCCTGTGTACCGCAGTCCAAATCATGGAGCAGTTGAGCTACACCAAGGGTCCCAGACAGCACTATATCGAACTGGGTCAGGTAGGTATAGAATTGAGGTTTTTCAGCATTCCCCAAATTTAGATGATTTGCCCCAAAAATCTTTCTTGATTTACATATTAGTTTTCTACTTGAGAGAATATAAATTGTTGCCACGCTGTCAATATGCATGATGATAGATATGTGTTGCTAATTTAAAATAATAGATTACAAGCCATAAATCAGTGAAGAGGAAGAGACCTAAATCTGAAAGACTTGCACAATAATGGCAGATAGGAGTAAGAAACAGATTAGTTTAAAATGCTCTTTATTCTTTTGTGATGTCTATAGCAAGTACTCAAGACTATATGCTGATAAGTCCGTTTTGAGCTAAACCAAGGGTTCCCAAACTTGGTTCGCAGCTTGTTCACGGTAAGCCCCTGGCGGGCCACGAGACACTTTGTTTATCTGAGCGTCCGCAGGTACGGCCGCTCGCAGCTCCCAGTGGCCGCGGTTCGCCGTTTCCAGCCAATGGGAGCTGCGGAAAGCGGCGCGGGCTGGGTATAGCGTATTTCTTGGTTTAAACCCTCACTAGCCAATCATAGAAGTGTTGGAAGTGTAGGTCTGGAAGGGGCCTCAATACATCATCTAGTCCTGTTCCTTGTACTCAAGGACTACTTAATAACTAGACCATTCCAGACAGGTGTTTGTCCAACCTGTTCTTTAAAACCTCCAGTGACAGAGATTCCACATCCTCCTTGAGCAATTTGTTCCAGTGCTTAACTATCCTGACAGTTAAGAAGTTTTTCCTAATGTCCATCCTAAACCTCCCTTGCTGCAGTTTTAAACCCATTGCTTCTTGTCCTATCCTCAGAGGTTAATTAAAACAATTTTTCACCTTCCTCTTTGTCACAATGTTTTATGTACTTCAAAACTGTTATTATATTCCCCACTCAGTCTTCTCTTCTCCAGACTAAACAAACCCAATTTTTTCCAAACTTTCCTCATAGGTCATGTTTTCTAGCCCTTAAATCATTTTTGTTGCTCTCCTCTGACTTTCTCCAGTTTGTCCACATCTCTCTTGAAATGTGGTGCCCAGAACTGGACACAATACTCTGGCTGAAGCCTTATCAACATGGAGTAGAGTGAAAGAATTACTTCTCGTGTCTTGCTTACAACACTCCTGCTACTACATCCCAGAATGATGGTCGCTTTTTTTGCAACAGTGTTACACTGTTGACCCATATTTATCATATCCTTCCTCTCACTTTTTACTGTTTTATCAATATAATAGAACCCTGCTAAATTGCACTGCACTAATTCACATCTTGCGCCATAAAACACGTGGTCTCACCCAACTTCTCAAAGATTTAATACTGGAATGCTGTATTGTAAGATCCAATATTAAAATCTAATTACTTTTATATGCTATATGACAGAATATAAAATGAGATACTATGAAGTACTGTCATAAATAATTGCAGCTAAACTGAAATTCTCAAATAAAAGGAAAAGACATGGTACGTTTGTGATGCATTATTCTGATTTTAGATCTTTTGTTCACTTACTAATTTGCACAATTTAGTAGTTTGCAATAGGTCTCCCAATCATTAGTCTGAATTAGGAAGGTTTTACTGTTAAGTCTCCAGAGTGATAGTTCACAATACCTATAATAATGTTTTTAAACCTTTTAAATTGCTTGTTAATAATTTTGCACCAGCTGAGGCATTCAGAGTACTATGAATGAAGCACAAGTTTTGCAGTTTCCCTGCCCCACCTGCCACAACTAAACTCACGTAAGCAAAACTAAACCAGGTAAAATTTGTTAAAGTTTTAGCTCAATTGAGAAACTGAAAAATAAAGTTCTAGTTCAGTTAATATCCTTATGTTTTTTTAGAAGAGCAGAAAATACCATAAGATCACTGTAATCAAGAAGGTTCATATTCATACCTCATTTCACACACGAGTGGTGTTTTTCTGAACCATTTGAGATTAGTGCCTTGAAAGAATCTTTAAATACAATTCAATCCCCAATTAATATTTTGCCCAAGCAAGCAGGACAAGCTTGTATCTAATTTATTAAAGGAGAGGCATTAACATCAGGAGAGCTTCTTGTTTTATTTCCCATTTTTCTTTCTTCAGTACTATAGATGCATACAATCGAATGTTATTAAACACCTCTGAAACTGTTCTATTTGTCATCAGGTTCCTCTTCAGTTCCTAGTTTACTGCTAATATATTTGACACATATAGTACTTACTACATTAAATACTGAAACACTCCATCTTATTTAGAAATAACTTGGGCCTGATCCCACAATGACTTTACTTGTGTAATCAGCCCATTATCGTCCTTGGAACTTTTTCTGTAAGGATTTATCATATGAGAGGTGCTGGAGCCCTATCCAATGATAGCTTTTTAGACCTCTGGGTATTTCAGTCTCACTTCAACTTTAATTTTGCTTGCTTTTTATTTAAACCAAGAATTGTCTCATAACAAATGTCTATAAAAGGTATCTAGCATATTTTATTATTGATTTTACACTAGGTGTTGGAAATCTGCAAAGGTCATCCAGTCAGCGTAGCACACTTGCATACCAAAGAAATAATTATCCCTTGAACACAACAGCTGCCTATGCAGAACCCTACAGGTCAATGCAGTACCGACTGTCAGAGTCCAGTTATAACAGGCTACAACATGCAACGCCAGCAGATGATGGTACAACAAGATCTCCATCCATAGACAGCATACAGAAAGATCCTAGGCAAGTCCAACTGAGCTCTCAGGAATCATGTACCATTGCAAGAATTATCTGATTCTAAAATTGTTCTTTGATTAAATAGAAAATCTTAGTAGTGCATTTTTTAGTTCTGTATTATACAGATCATTGTGATTAATTTAGGTTTAATAAGTAACAATTTATAAAATTATCCAGAAGTTTAACCAGTAAGTGCATTGCTTTTACTTTGCTACAGTAGTTGACTGTTACTTACATTTGTGTTAACAATTATTGTAATTCTCTTCCAAGTTTATTTTAGGATATCGAAAGGAAATTTCATATACTCTGAGGAACATTTGTGAACTTGAAAGGTTTCATTTGGTTTTATTGAGTATTTTTTATTAAATTGTCACACATGTTTGCCAGGTTTTGAAAATGAGTAAGTAAATATCTAAATATACTAGATCATTCTATTTATGAACAGCTTTGGTTATAAGGAAAGTTGCTTGGAAATCTTCGGAATAAGTATACCATTTTGCAAAGGTAGAAAACAGTTGCTTCATATTAACATAGAATAAATGCATTTAAAATGGAAATGGAGACCGTTTTTCCGGTATTACTTATTCAAGTAGTCCTGTAGACAGTAATGGGCCTACTTGCATGATGGGACAAACAGGATTTGGCCCCTATTAGTGAACTTTCAAACCACTTCTTTGGGTCAACTTAATAGTGCTACACAGGGCCGGCTCTAATTTTTTTGCTGCCCCAAGCAGCAAAAAAAAGCGCCGCCCCGCTGAGCCCCCCCACACCGAGCGCCGCGCCACCGGAA